CCACGCGTCCTAAAAGCACCAAGGTTGCCTACCCCTGCCCTAGGAATACAGCTTACGACCACAACTGAGCCCAAAACCTCCGTTGCTAAGTGAGGCAGTCACCTTCAGTGAATGTTGCCCCCGTTTTACGACCTTTCCTGCCACCGTCGCTAAATGAATCACTGCGGTTAAGTTGGCAAGACCGTCGTAAAGCCAACATGGCTCCCCTGCCCGGTGGGCTTCGCTTGTCAAAAGGTTGCAAAATGGGATCACACGTGTGACACACACCTGCCCCCCCCACCCCCTCCCGGGACGTTGCGACCGTCATAAACAGGAGTCGGTGGCCAAGCGCCCGAATTGTCACGTGTCCCCTGGGGATGCTGCGATGGCCGGGTGAAAAACGGTCCCGTCGCTTTTTTCCCCGTTTCCGGTCGCTAAGTGAAATGTTGACAAGTCAAGGACTGTCCGTAGATGGAGGGAAAGCGACGGAGAGTCAGTTGGCTTTGCTACTGCCAATGCGCTTTCTTGGGGCTGCCCTTGAAGACGGTCCAGAAACAGCAGCTGCTCCAGAATGGGCAGGCGCTGAGGAGGGGGCTCTCCTGTGTGTGTGTGTGTGACTTGGTTGTGAAGCTGCACCAGTGCCTAGTTGGCTTCTGTTGGATCAACTCAAGGGTCTGGGCAGGTATTGAGGAGGGGGCTCTCCTGTGTGTGTGTGTGTGTGTGTGTGTGTGTGTGTGTGTGTGTGTCGTGGTTGTGAAGCTGCACCAGTGCCCAGTTGGCTTCTGTTGGATCAACTCAAGGGTCTGAGCAGGTGTTGAGGAGCGGGCTCTCCTGTGTGTGCGTGTGTGTGTGTGTGTGCATGTGTGTGTGAGAGACTATTGTGGTTGTGAAGCTGCACCAGTGCCCAGTTGGTTTCTGTTGGTTCAACTCAAGGGTCTGGGCAGGCGCTGAGGAGGGGGCTCTCCTGTTTGTGCGTGTGTGTGTGTGATCGTGTGTGTGTGTGTCTGTGTGTGACCGTTGTGGTTGTGAAGCTGCACCAGTTGGCTTCTGTTGGATCAACTCAAAGGTCTGGGCAGGTGCTGAGGAGGGGGCTCTCCTGTTTGTGCGTGTTTGTGTGTGTGATCATTGTGTGTGTGTGTGTGTGACCGTTGTGGTTGTGAAGCTGCACCAGTGCCTAGTTGACTTCTGTTGGTTCAACTCAAAGGTCTGGGCAGGCGCTGAGGAGGGGGCTCTCCTGTTTGTGCGTGTTTGTGTGTGTGATCATTGTGTGTGTGTGTGTGTGTGTGTGACCGTTGTGGTTGTGAAGCTGCACCAGTGCCTAGTTGACTTCTGTTGGTTCAACTCAA